CAGTGACGGCCACCCCCCCCCCTCCATCCTCCCCCCCACACACACGCAACCTCATGGGGGTGGCGGCCGCTTTAAATGGCCAGATGCGGTGGGGAAAGCTTCCACGACGATAACGCGTGTGAGATAAAAACTCATTTAAAAAAATCAACTAATAAATTAGTTATTTCCCACCATCACCACCACCACCACACCATCACCCCCTTCGCCCACCGCCACTCAATTCCCCTGCCCGCCCGCGCACAGCGCAATTTCTATTCGGCCAGTCAACGCGTTCTCTTCCTCCAGCAAGATGTTCTATTTGGATGAGATGGTGGGGGCTGGCGGGCGGGCGTGCGGTTGATGTGGTGGGTGTGTGTATGGGTGTGTGTGTGTGTATGGGTGGGTGTGTGTGTGTGTATGGGTGGGTGGGTGGATGTATGGGTGGGTGGATGTATGGGTGGGTGGGTGGATGTATGGGTGGGTGGGTGTATGGGTGGGTGGATGTATGGGTGGGTGGATGGATGTATGGGTGGGTGTGTGTATGGGTGGGTGGGTGTGTGTATGGGTGGGTGGGTGTGTGTATGGGTGGGTGGGTGTGTGTATGGGTGGGTGTGTGTATGGGTGGGTGGGTGTGTGTATGGGTGGGTGGGTGTGTGTATGGGTGGGTGGGTGTGTGTATGGGTGGGTGGGGATCATCTTAAAGGAGAATATTCAAAGCGGGCTCAATTTATTCAGGTCAAATTGTCTTGCCAAAAATAGTAGTAGTAATAATAATTAAACAACTCCGATACGAAAGCCATAACCTTGTAACTGTATGTTCGTTTCCTCCGAAGGCTGTTCTCTTAAGTCAGCTAGCGCTTACAATGCAATAACACCGTCATTGTGAAGGTTATAAAACGCAACACCCTCAGCTAATTACGCCCGTCCACCGTTGCCTAAGAGCGCACGAGGAAGCCGAAGACAGTTTGATTAAATGCCGCACTGCTGCGGTGTGTATTGTAAAGGTCTGAGAAACGGGGTACCCTTCAAACACGCGCGCGACAGCGTCTTATTTACATGCCTTCTGGTTTTCTGTTGTTGCTGCTGCTGTTGCTGCTGCTCGGAATGTAACAATTCACCCCCTACACCATCGTAAGCCAATGGGTCAATCCAGCGCTTTCAAGGGAGGGCCCCACTCACCAAATTGCGTGAGAGGAGGTGGTGGCAGGTTGGGTTAGACCATCCAGCAGTGGATTTTGTAAGTGGCCAATCCATGCACCCCATCCCCCCCCCCCCCCCCCTGCGTATAAACCGTCACAGACTCAGGGTCACGAATCGATTCGCAAATCTATGATTATTCTATTATTCACGTGGTTTTGAGATGCGGTTGCACTTCGAAGTGAAATCCCAATTGTAGCCATCACTGACATTGTTTTGGTGGCACAAATCTGTGGACTCTACAATGCTGTACGAAGCAAAACAAAAAACCAAACATACACAGAAATAATTGATTCTTACACGCGCTCATTCGATGCTTGGACCGTGCGAGTCAGGACCACCCCCCCCACTCCCAGGGCTGCTTTCATTCGAATCGACGAATCAAGACGTGCCAACCGCGTGTGGGTTCCAGTGCAATCGCGGTCACGTTCAACAACTGCACGTCATTCGCCCTCCGCAGCCAAAACAACAACTCGCGTGGAGGTGGAGGGGGGGGGGAGGTGAGACGTTCATCATCATCGTCGTCAACAGCAACAACGAGGCGACCGATACCTCCTCACGAAACGACCTGCTGCCCCCAGCGACCACAACCCATTTTAACCTTCGAACTCACCCCCCCCCCCGCCTACCCCTCCTGACCGTTTCTACCACGCGATCAAGACGATCAAGACACTACGAAGCCATCGCACCACCTCCCCGGCCTTCCTTTCCCAGGGTGTTGTTGTGGTAGTTTAACCCCCCGGAGCAACCCGGGCTTAAAAAGGCGTTTGCAAACGAGGCCTCCCGCTCTCTCTCTCTCTCTCTTCCTGCCCATCGCCCCCCTCACGACCCCCCCCCCCCCCCCTTTGGAAACCTCAAGCCCAATTGCGGTTGAATCGTTCCAACAGGTGTCCCCGCCGGGCTTTTGTTGCGTCCTTTCATCCTGCAGCGAGCGATCAAAAAGGGGCCCCCTCCATTTCCACTGCCTTCCCCCGGCCCGCCACATTCTCCCTGCCAATTATCTGCGAGACCGCTCGCGAATGCGGAGGCCGTCCGCGGCCCCGGTCGTGGCCAACGCGGGCGCAAAACGCTCCACCGCTGCGATTTGGGACCTTGCTGTGCATCGTACGGCGCGGCGTTCCGCGGAACCGAATTTTAACATCGGTTCATCGCGCCCATCAACAAGCACGCGGTTAAACAACCTCCCCGCCCAAAATAAAAAAAAATAAAACACGCAATTGGAAGGAGGCACGCGGTACGATCGGGAAATCCTACGGGAGGCGGTGCGGGGTAATACCGCAGAGTTGTTGATGAGTGTATGCGGATTTGTAAAACAAAAAACAAAACACGCATGCATTGGTCTGTGTGTGCAGGCTTCTACTGCTGTGCAAATAAAACGTTGACAAAATCAGTAGGCACGTGACGATGGATCGATTTCGAGGGTTGAAATCGTTTCTAAGCTCGCCGGCAAAATTAAGTTGCGCGTGTGAGAATCAATTGTTTATGCAAATTATTCTCATGAAGCCAATGAGATTGTGGAAACATGGTGTACAAAATAAAGAGACAGTAACAACTCGGAGGATGAAAACATTGGAGCGACTCGAAACGCAACCTCGGGGATCGTGACAATTCGTCGATTAGCTGGGAGGGAGTAGGCGAATCCTATTACTTGACCCAAAATCAGGTCAAGCAAGAGGTAAAGAAGGAGCGCCCCCTCCCCCCCCCCCCCCCCCCCCCCGCAATTGCTTTGCTCGCCGTCACTGCTGGCACAAGGGCCCCCCCCCCAACTCGAAGGAGCTCTGAACAAGGCCCCCCTCTAGGTTTGGGCGACTTTCCATGTGAAATAAATAAACTGCCAGGACGGGTTGCATGGAGTTTACCAACGTTAAAGAGCACAAAGCACAAAAGAGTGTTCTTGATTTGAGAAACGCCAACTCAATTCAGTAGATAAATATTTCTTCTCGCATTACACCGCCAGCCGATTTAATTTCTGTATTAGGGACAGGCGGGGGTTTTTTTTCCCCCCTCGTTAAATATAAATATTAAAAGACATTGTCGAACACGGTTAGACACGCTCAAGTCGCCGCGTGATATTGAGCCAAACAAAAAAAAGCGTCGTCAACATTTGAAATAAATATTCGTACACTTCGCTTGCGGAAACATAAATAATCACGCCGTCGTATAAATACCCACTGTTTAACCACCGTTAGCTCGTACGCCAACAAATGTGAAATATAAAACGATCCTAGGCTCACGATAGACATCAAGCAGTTGTTTTTAAATAGTGCACTTTCACCTTTTGTTGTTTTTAATTTACCAAATAAATCTACCATACAAGATGGCATTTTATTGAAATTGCGGTCGGTAAGTCACTTGCATTCTACAGATGCACGTATATAAACATGATAAAAATTATATATCGACAAAGCGTCATCAATTTAACGCGACAATGCACGTTACTTTTTAACGAGTAGCTTTAGCGCACAGGAGATAAATACTTTATGGATTATACATATCGCGTAAATAATTTATATACACCAAACAGTAAACACTGCATGAAGATATGATACAGTATTAATGTTTATATTTGCTTGTGTGTGCATATGGGCATTCAAGCGATTGATTTTACATAATTCATTACAATAATGTTCGACTAGGCTGGTTCGCAGAAGCCTCTTCCTGGAACTGCCGATAAAAGAATGGGTAAATCAGATACCGTGTAACAAAAGAAGGTGAACGGTGTTTGTAATTAATTATTTGATTATTGTGCTAGTGGTGTTAGACCTAGGGCAAAATGCTATTCCATCGCTAGAAACTACCGATCTTGCAATGCAATCTAACACAAAGTTATTGATAAAGGACATGAAATCGAGGCTTAACCACCCCGGCACCTCACTCAAAAGTAAAAACAAGTTGAATTGTTTTCCTGGTTATAACAAGCATGGGAGGAGTGGCTTAATATATTCCCGGTCGAGGCAGCGGTGGACATTCCACATTGCTGTGGCCAGGGTGCATATTTTTATAGAACAGTCCACTGCAGACTTTCCCATACAGTGGGTATTCTTTAGATTGACCACGTAGTGGACGATTGGCCGAATCGACCTCCCGAGTGGGATTTTAACCTCGCAAACCTTCCGCTCGCGAGTGAAGCCCAACACTCGCCGACCACCCGGTGGTTCCATCTCGGGTCAGATGTTTCTGACATAAACAAATGTTTAGCGTTGACGTCAGAATCCAACTCGTGGTTATGATCGATTCGAGAACAATTGCAAACGCCAACGTGGGTGGGTTTTTGGAGCCACTGGTGAATTGATGGAGAGTACAAAAAATGTACAGCACGAAACGTTGTTGTTGCGCTATCAACACCTGATATTATAAGCACATCGTGACTCAGAGTTCTAGCCCATAGGCTTAGCTGTGCTGGCTCGGCCCGAGATCACGGGAGGAAAATCTGAAATTCATGAACAACCCAGGCATCTCCAAATAAATCCATTTTGCAAATGTCCCTTTTTCAATATGACAATTTTCTTTAAATGTAGAGGCACAAAGAAAGCCAGCACTGAATAAAAATCACTTTGAAAGGCTACACACGAGCTCCTCGTAGTAAGAATAGTCTAAAGCAATTGATCGAGCCCAGCAGTATTAAAATTGTCCGATGTAGTCTACGGATAAAAACGCAGAGAAACAAATGATGCCCGTGTAGCTCTGCACCAGGATTGATTTTGAGCACTCACTTCAACCACTCGGCACCAAAGCGAGGCAACGCTATAGCCTCGCTTCGCACAGGCTCGTCGCAAAGTCAATCGTTGGACACCTCTCAGTTGCAGAACCATCCCACAAAAAGGTAACGCCACTTATCCACGGCATGTATTTATTTCTCCAACAAGTCCAGCCAGGTACGCGATGAACGTGAGACAATGCAAACCGCCCCACCCCCCCCCCCCCCTTCCATTTAATAAGTTATGTAAAACTTGAGGAATGAAAAAACGATATTGTTTTTTCGCAAGAACGAGGCAGTTTAAATGGAGGCAAAGACGAACTTTAATATAGTGGACGAATATTATATTTTCACTCGTGAATTTTAGGCTCACAGGTAAAAAAAAAACTGAAAAGATATTTTAAGATATTTTATACAGCGCCAGTAAAACGATCCCACCTACTATTAAGGCAGATTAACCACACACCATTAAACTGATGTTTGTTACACAACAGTACGAGTCGTCATCATATGCACCTTTGCACATGAATTTGCAGCATATTGATTGTTCCTTCAGGTCAATTCGCAGCCTGCAACGAGACAATTAAAGCGAGTCAGATCACGCGAATTTAATTACAACAATTAAACAGACTTTGAACTTTGGCCAAGACATGTGTTATTGCTCTAGGATATTTCGTGTTATTTTTTTAGATCACGGTTGGAGCACAGGCCCAGAGACCCAAAACGCCAATCAATCCGCAACAAACAGCACTACCGCAGGTTTAATAGATAATGTCACGTGTTAAACTGTAATCATTGGCAGATGTGGAAAAAAAATACAAGCAATGGGGTGGCATGCATTTCTGTGGTCCCTAAAACAGTGGTGGAAAATCCACGTTCCCATGGAGGGGTCAGTTCATTAGATAACCACTTTCGACGTGTCGAAAAATAGGTCACATAAATGGCAGGTTAAGAGTTGACCTCTGACTGGGATTTGAACCCACAATCTTTAGCCTAAGAGTCGGGCATCTCTAACCGCAGTGCTACCCGGCCACATCATAACAAAAACCTGCCCAATCTATAATATCACCACAATAATATTGCATGTCTGCCTAAGAAAACTACACTGACACATGCATACGCTGACTACAGGGGAAAGAGCCGTTTGTAATCACCGATTAAGGACATGGCATATGAGAGGGCAGTGTGACCTACCGCCTTTGTCTCCCTAACACTGAGGTTCACATTTCAGACACCAGGTAGCCACTTTAGTCTGAGTCAACCTAGAGGTAGCCCAGGTTGCCTCAGAAGTGCAAATGCGCCGCTGACCCGATGCGATGGCACCGCACCAGCGCTGATTTCATGGCACTCTGCCAGCATTATTATTTAAGGTCGAATCAACCTCGGAGAGTCACGCTCATGAATGCCCCCCCCCCCAGCCCCGACTGGTGTCAACCACGTTTGGGAATCAAACTCGGGTCGCCGGGTTCATATCGCAGTGCACCAACCACTGCGCCACCACTCTCGAGCGCTCTCTCTTTGACACACGCAGGACACTGCTGTTTAAGCGGGCCGGTGATATAATAAGTGTGAAGACGAATGGAAATTGACAAATTAGTCCCATGCATATGGGTGACCTTTTCAAGGGAGATACTGCCAAGTTAATGGAATCCCTCTCTCCCAACACTTTGAATGTTTTCCCTTCAAAATACGCACTAATAATGTAACAGACAAGGCTTATCATAATAGTCCCCTAATCATATTTAGTAGAACAGTTATTCTTACCCATACAATCATTAATGATACATTGTCACCATATTACACATTTTCCCCCCTAACATGTGAATAAGCTGTTAAGACACTTTTTTTTTGGTACAGCATTGTCCCCGATGTTCATTGTATGATCTCTATTCTGTTTGGTTATTTAATTAGTTCCGTATGTTTTATTCATCCATTCATCTATAAACCAATTACTGCCGTACAGCTGTCTAGCCAGGGGTGAATTTAATTTGGCTGAGCTTAGTGTATTCTTAGCCTACTACTAGCAACCATGAATTATTATTGAATGGCGGTTCCAATCCACAAAACAGAGGCTTACGTTTCAAACTTATGACAATTTGCGCTGAGTTGGTAAAAGGGCAATTGCTCCGACTGATGCAAATCATGTCACAGGGTAAAATTTGAAGCAAAACAGTGAAAGCGCAGCCCCTACAATTGCCTTCTCACACCGCTGCTGGAAGAGCCTCAACTACAGCAAGCTCAAGAAAGCCCCTCTACAGCATACTTTGGCCTACTCTTTCACACTGGCCAAACGGAATACCCACAAATTTACCCTACTGGAAGCAACTTGCCGAATGACTGGAAGTGCTGTTGCCTATTTATTCTGCTGGGTGGACGGAGGTGCGGGAGGGATTTCACGAGCGTTTCTGCCGTCTCAACTGCTGAGCCGAGAGATAGACTAGCGACTTATGGATTGCAAGGCTAGTGTGCTAACCATTATACTGTAGCAGGCTGCAGCGGCATATCACAGGGTATTTCACTCTATAGATGGTGTGCTTTGTAATGTTTTATGTTGTTATTAGGTGGAGATAAGATATGCATGTTGAACTTATTTCGCACCGTACGTACGCAGCCGTGCTACTTGTTAATGATATTAACAATCACTAACCTGTATGCATTCATATAATTGAAATAATAATGTCTTGTTGATCCTTGTAGAGAGTGGGTGGAAGGAGTAGAGGTTAGCGTATTTGTGCTATAAACCCAGCAAATCTGAGCTCGACTCCTGGCCCACAGCCAACGTAGAGGAGGCCCAGGCCAAGGTAAGATTTCAGTTTCTGCCAATGCTGTGCATCATGGTCAACTATTGGATTGGGATCGCAGAGCGGTGAGTAAACACCAAACGTGCACAATGACTTGGCCCTGACTCGACTCAACCCATCATATCTCTGAGCTGCAAGTCAACAGTGGGTGTGTTATGATTTAAATTGGACTCCTGCCACAGAAATGAGTAATTTCCACCTCTGGTTCAGAGCTACCAAAAACAGAGGAAACCCTGCTACATGGCTTTCTTGAACAGGTCGAACGTGAATCTAATTTTAGGACAGGAGGCTCACCAACCTTGTATCACCTTTGCTGTGAAACGGTCGCAGATGCAGGCGGTTGAGATAACACAGGTGGGCCAGATACACCTTCAGTACAACAGCACGCACAAAGACACCGTCAGGACAAGTTTCTACAATGCCACCAAGTCCAATTGTAGTCAATGGCTGATAGACATGCGTACAGATGGTCACACTGAATGCTTTGTATTTAACGCTTGGGAGCCATGCTCCCAAAATTGTCTATTTGGTACCAACGAAGGGTGGCAATTTAAACATTGATTTTAAACCGTATCATCTCCAATATATCACAAATATGTACGACAGCAAGGCCATCGTTGTAGCTTTTTACGAGACCAAGGTTTATAAAAGAAGACTACCGTAGAACGCTTGACAGATATTGTTTTGAAAGAAAACTATTAAGATTGGAATCATGTGCAGAATATGGCAATAAATAATAAAGACCGTGTGCATAAAACAGACAACGAATACGCTAATCTCTCTGGAATTGTGGACGTTCGTAGAATTTTTATCCCCACGTGGTACTGATCAACCCCCTTTTGCTCATGGGTTAAAATGTGTTCGTAGGCCAAGGCCTCTGTGTGGAAAAGATTACGGTGAAGTGAAACATGAAAACAACAAATGAGCCCGTGACGGGCGATTACAAGAATGTGCCCAGCACGGTTCGGGTCCAGCTAACTTACAACGGCCGTGGAAAGGCCGCAATTGACTTTAACCGTAACGCTGTGGTTATAAATATTATTTTAAAATATTTTTATTTCATCAGGTGAGGCCCCACCGAGCTATGTTAGCTATTTTTTCAGGAGAGACCTGGCCCACAAATGATAGCTCAACGAAGTGGAAAAAATCAGAGGGCCCCGGAGAAACATCCACACGACCACGGGCAGAGAGACGAGCACACTCCGAATATACAGCAGCAGGTGTCAAGGGTCGGGATCGAACCCACGACCTCTTGTATTCCAGGCGAGGGTGTTAACATCTCGCCACCGTGGCGCCCATACCTGTGTAGTGGTCGAAGGGGCTGCTGGGGTCGGGGTATCCCGTGCCCTGGAGGGCCATGGCGTGCTGCCGTCTCGAAGGTGGCGGACTCGACGCCCTCTTCCGTTTTTCTCCGCCCGCGTCCTTCTCTTTGTCCGCGGAGGACCTCTCGGCAGCCTGAAGTCAGAGGTCGTTCGATGTCAGGACAGTTCACGATGGACAGATCAACGTCGGCCAGTGCCGATCATGCAATTACGCCCATCCTTCTTGCCAGATCCCCGCAACTATTACGATTATTTTTTATTTTAACAGGTAAGGCCCACTGAGCTATACAGCTCTTATTCACAAAGCGACCTGGCCCACAAATGAGAGCTCAACGAAGTGGCTCATCATGTGGAAATGCATCGCAGCCAAATACTCAAGATGAATGTCGATTTAAAATGTGGAGGGTAAAACCGGAGGACCCGGGAAAAAAAAATCCATGCGACCACGGGGAGAGACACGCAAACTCCAAATATGCAGCAGGCATCAGGGCCAGGATCGAACCCACGACCTCATGTATACCAGGCGAGGTCGTTATCTCACCACTGCATCGACCTGCTGCAGAGCAAATACTGAAAACTGTTGCAGAGTGAATAGCAGACCTCTAAGGGCTGTTCTTAGTCTCTTCACCAACATCTGGCTTGAGACCACATCCGCTTGGAATCCAAAGCGAACGCCTTTCTCAGTACCATGCCCCTCCCGTTATGCACACCGCACATGTCCCTCCCATCACAAAGTCCTGTGTTACACATAAATTAGATTTAGGCAAAAGATCCCGTTCGTCAGCCTGCACGCTAATCTTCAAGCATTGGCCTATGCCATTCTGATCAGCAACACCGTACCTGGGAATTGTTTGTTTCATGCAAGGCATGGATGGCGATGCTCTGCAGGTCTTTAGCCACAATGGTTGCGAAAGGCAAGTGCTAGTTTTTGCAAGCGCCCATTAAGGCCAGGAAGACACACGAGGGATGGTTGCGACCAGCACCTCGTCCTGCTGCCTTTGGCCAATCCAGTGCTGCCGTTTACACACCACACCGGGATGCTTGGTTTTACGGCTGCGTTAAACCTAAGGGATCCTTACGCCTGGCGACTTTCTCGACTTCTGCGGTTCCATCTTCATGCTGAACATTCCATCGCCGTGCCGCTCCGGGTCCAGCTCCTCACTTCCCGGCAGCTTCCCATAGCTCGAGTAGTAGAGGTTCGGTGGAACATAACCCCCTGAATGAATAACGCGCACGCGCATTGATCGGTTAAAACGGCACGTGAAAAAAACAACGGCGTTTTAAAATGAAGTCCGCAAACTTTTAACGTGCGTGGTTTCCGTATTCAGAGGTGCTGGAAAAAAACAAAGACATATAGGGAAGGCAGCCAACGATAGCCCAATATATTTGGCCCTGCACCGGGATGTTTGGCCGACTCTATGATTAAATGTTTAAACATGTGGGAGTAAAATCAGGGTGGCCTGTGAAAACAAAACGCGTGCAATGGGTATAAGACATTCATTATTAACGCTGCATTATTACATTTCACGACCGCAACAATGGCACCTTCCCGTCATTTCCAGTTAGGGTCGTAATTTTGTGCCCGCTGCTGTATCAGGTGTCATCGTGTTGAAATTCACAATATCATTTCTTTTTGAATTGATGACTTCAAGGAAGAGGGGGGGGGATGACAGAAGAGTGAAATGAAGATGAAAGCTCATGATCATTGGCTTCCAATTAAATCTGGGGAATAATTTAAATTATCGCCGCTCACATACAAGGTCCTTAAGCATTCACGTACTGTCACAACCGATCCACCGATTTACATCTGCTCCACGTGCCGAGAACTCGACTCTGCAGCTGGGGTGACCGAGCCTCCAGTGAGAGGAAAAAAAGTATTTGATCCCCTGCTGATTTTGTACGTTTGCCCACTGACAAAGAAATGATCAGTCTATAATTTTAATGGTAGGTTTATTTGAACAGTGAGAGACAGAATAATAACAAAATCCAGAAAAACGCATGTCAAAAATGTTATAAATTAATTTACATTTTAATGATGGAAATAAGTATTTGACCCCCTCTCAATCAGAAAGATGTCTGGCTCCCAGGTGTCTTTTAAACAGGTAATGAGCTGAGATTAGGAGCACACTCTTAAAGGGAGTGCTCCTAATCTCAGCTTGTTACCTGTATAAAAGACACCTGTCCACAGTAGCAATCACTCAATCAGATTCCAAACTCTCCACCATGGCCAAGACCAAAGAGCTCTCCAAGGATGTCAGGGAAAAGATTGTAGACCTACACAAGGCTGGAATGGGCTACAAGACCATTGCCAAGCAGCTTGGTGAGAAGGTGACAACAGTAGTTGGTGCGATTATTCGCAAATGGAAGAAACACAAAAGAACGTCAATCTCCCTCGGCCTGGGGCTCCATGCAAGATCTCACCTTGTGGAGTTGCAATGATCATGAGAACGGTAAGGAATCAGCCCAGAACTACACGGGAGGATCTTGTCAATGATCTCAAGGCAGCTGGGCCCATAGTCACCAAGAAAACAATTGGTAACACACTACGCCGTGAAGGACTGAAATCCTGCAGCGCCCGCAAGGTCCCCCTGCTCAAGAAAGCATATATACATGCCCGTCTGAAGTTTGCCAATGAACATCTGAATGATTCAGAGGACAACTGGGTGAAAGTGTTGTGGTCAGATGAGACCAAAATGGAGCTCTTTGGCATCAACTCAACTCGCTGTGTTTGGAGGAGGAGGAATGCTGCCTATGACCCCAAGAACACCATCCCCACCATAAAACATGGAGGTGGAAACATTATGCTTTGGGGGTGTTTTTCTGCAAAGGGGACAGGACAACTTCACCGCATCAAAGGGACGATGGACGGGGCCATGTACCGTCAAATCTTGGGTGAGAACCTCCTTCCCTCAGCTAGGGCATTGAAAATGGGTCGTGGATGGGTATTCCAGCATGACAATAACCCAAAACACATGGCCAAGGCAACAAAGGAGTGGCTCAAAGAGAAGCACATTAAGGTCCTGGAGTGGCCTAGCCAGTCTCCAGACCTTAATCCCAAAAAAAATCTGTGGAGGGAGCTGAAGGTTCGAGTTGCCAAACGTAAGCCTCGAAACCTGAATGACTTGGAGAAGATCTGCAAAGAGGAGTGGGACAAAATCCCTCCTGAGATGTGTGCAAACCTGGTGGCCAACTACAAGAAACGTCTGACCTCTGTGATTGCCAACAAGGGTTTTGCCACCAAGTACTAAGTCATGTTTTGCAGAGGGGCCAAATACTTATTTCCCTCATTAAAATGCAAATCAATTTATAACATTTTTGACATGCGTTTTTCTGGATTTTTTTGTTGTTATTCTGTCTCTCACTGTTCAAATAAACCTACCATTAAAATTATAGACTGATCCTTTCTTTGTCAGTGGGCAAACGTACAAAATCAGCTGAGGATCAAATACTTTTTTTCCCTCACTGTATGCATGCGTTGTGCAAAAACTGAGATCGCTGAATGAATTGCGCCGTATAAATGTAAATCATCATCATGATGATCATAACGGGGATAGGGCGCAAGGGGGCTTTGAGCACAAGACCTGCCATTGGGCAGAGTGCTAAAGAAGAAGAACACACAAAACGAGTGTAGGATGCTGGAGTTTCGGGGCAATGGCCCTTCATCAGAGTACGATGAGAAGAACCATGTGGCAGAGAGAACGGCTGACTTGCGGCTGGAGATGACAACTTCACACCGCGGAGCACCAAGAAACGGAGACATTTTAAGAGAGCCGGCAAAAAGAAGAGTTGTAATTTGATGACGAGCGTACATTTAGATATAATTCAGTGAGTTTCATGTCGCAGGTAACAGAGTCGAGGCGATCGACGCTGCACTGGAATGCGTGACCTCAAGGGAGATCTGTTAAAAGCATATTTGGTAACTCGCAACCGGTAACACGTTACCTGCAGCTACTGAAACGTTACTTAAGTTGCCGTGTATAATAAAGCATTTAATGAAAAGCACACGCGATGATGTGTAATAAATAATGAAGGCTGCTGCCGCATTAGGTGTGGCAAGTCCGTAACTCAAGATGCAGCTTTCAGCTCAGCTCAACTGAATGGAAACATTTACATTTTTTAGAGGCTATTAAAGCAATTTAAAATAATTAAACGTAATTTACAAAATGCTGCGGTAATTGCAATTAACGACAATTAAGTGCCCCCGCCAATAGAAGCCGGTAAGGAATGCATCGACACGCCGATTCGACTTTAGCTATACTAATTGATGCTTAGATTATAAGTGAAATTTTTGGGGAGTAACATTATGCACCTGAGCGCTTTAAGTCACTAGCTCGCACATCAGAACACCGTTTCAGAAGCTATGAACGCATGTATTCAAGTAGGCACTGATGTTGTAAACTTTATAGAATGTCAATGCTGTCTATGAACTCTGCAGGACCTCATCTGAAGTCGGCGACTCCCCCTCCCCCGTCTCCCCCCCCCCCCCCCGTCGGCGACTCCCTCCCCCCCGTCGGCGTCTCCCCCCCCCCCCGTCGACGTCTCCCTCACCCCCCCTGTCGGCGACTCCCCCCCCCCCCCGTCGGCGACTCCCCCCCCCGTCGGCGACTCCCCCCCCCCCCCCCCGTCGACGATTTAATTAAGTAGAATGTGTCGTCTATATTTATATAAAGTTGTGCATTTTGATGTGACGTCACATTTCTCAACCACCACCCCCCCCCCCCCTTGTCAAACATCGTCACAAATGTCTGACCCCAGCGATGGCTCCAAACCTCTCTGGACCTGCTGGCCAGCGTCAATCCTCAAAACGTTTTTGCGAACCACCACAATTAACTATACTGGCTGCTCTGTACAGCGTACATAAATAAATATAACAGGTAGCTGCAATAGTTCCGAAGACTACTCCCCCCCCCCCGCCCCCATGGTGTTGTCCACCACCAGGGCTACAGGTTGGTAAACAATGAACTACAGGATTATCCCCTCACTGTCTTCAAAAGGTCCTCCACGGAATACGTCTTGCTCCTCACCTCACTCTACCCCCCCCTTCACACTCTCTCCGCTCCAGCAACCAAGGTCTCCTGTCGCTTCACTGTTCTCTCCGACCATCAACCATCAACAGCACGATTTGTAAAGAGGTGAATAAACAGAGGCTTGCACGGACGAACTGCCCAGACCTGCCCTGGCCCCGCCCCGCCGGAGGGCCACTGGCCAAACTCACCCGTGTAGAAGTGCATCATCATGGGAGAGAGCCCGCGGTAGGCCGGATGGCCCGAGTCGCACATCTGCCCGTAAGACGCGGGCACGCCGGCCTGCAGCGAGGGGCTCAGGGCGGTCGCCTGCGAGGGCCGAGGCAGCTTGCCCTGCAGCTCCCGGCTATGCTGCCCCATGCCACGTCCATCGGGGCCGACGGGCTCCGTGGGGCCCGCGCGGAGCAGCGAAGGGCCCTTCCAGTCGTGCTGCTCTAAGCTCACGTCGGGCTCCTTCTCCGCACGCCTCCACAGCTCCTTCTCGGCGGCCCGCTGCCGATCCAGGTACTGGCTGTAGTAGAGCTGCTGCCAGCGATTCATCTCGTATTCCTGTGCGGGCGCGCAGGCGGGGGAGGTACCGCGCGTTTTAGAGTTTTCGCACCAAAAAGGCCCCTCTCTTTCTTTCGTGGCAATCGGTGTTAAAAAAATAATCACGAAAAGTACCGACTGAAATACATTTGAACAAAAAAAAAACCACTACCACTCCCATCATTAGCAGTGGGCAATCCACTTCCGGATAATGGCCTCCACCCCCAAGCAGCTGCCTTCTCCCACGAGCACGCGATCGTGGGAAATAATCCGCCGTTTTTATCGCTCCCATCTCCTTCCTGGACGCCCCCCCCCCCCCCTCTCAGATGCATCACATTCTATATCAACGACTGCGTGAACAGTTAAAAATCCACCGAGAACGACTGCTGTACCCAACAGACACGCGGTGCAGTAGGAGCATGGCAGCCCAAAATGCAATCCAAGGCCATGTCAATGCACTGATACATAACCATTTTTGGCAATCCACTGCTGGATAAGTGTCTCCCCATGCCAAGCGGTTCGTGGGGGCGTTATCCGACCATTCTTCACGACGCTGTTCAATGCTAGTTGGTAAATCCAGTGAGTGTAGATGTGGGAGCATATTGGTATAGTCTAACAATGGCTTTTTGTTTTTTCTGCACCACCCTCTGTGGCCCAGCATGTAGTTCCGCAGCAGCCTATAACACCCGTCATAAACGGCAGTTGCCCATCCAAACATTATCCAGGTTTAAACCTACTTAGCTTCCGAGACCTGATAAGTTTGGGCACATTCTGAGTGGTCTGGAAGTGGGCTCATTAATAAAATAGCGCTATTGCTACTTTTTTCTCCGTTATATTCATAAAACCCACACATACCAAGCACTCATCCTTGACCTGCTCACTGGCATATATATATCCACTCGTACATGTGTGTTTTCTCCAGATCCTCCCACAAGTCAATCGCTCAATAATGGAATTGGCCAAACTTCCTAACACAGGGCCCTGTTTCAAAAAAGTTTGAAGACTCAGTGAGACCTTCCTGTATAAACAGAGGGAATTGTGTATTATTGTTTTTTTTAGAGACTAAGTCTACACAAGGATAACTCCTCTGGAATGCTTAGCCGATCCCTTCATTGAACATATTTGCACGTGGCAGAAAACCACACAACGGAGCAGGAGAAATCCCCACTTGCACAAAAATTGGGGGGGGGGGGGGAGCGAATAAAGATTCACAGACAATATGCCAATACACGTCACACACACAATCCAATAAAGGAAGGGGGGAGGGGTCGGTATTAGCCAGCCCTCACTGAGTCACAATACTCCATCCCCGAGCTGAGCGTAGTCCACGTAAACATTTTAAACAGGGGGCTTTTGGTCTTTACAAGCGGCGATAACCAGAGGGGTATTTTTTTTTTACATCAGCAACCTTGCAGCGTGACATCAAACCGACTTGCCCGGACACAAACAGCTGTGCGTGCATATAATGGTGTTTATTTTACTCGCTTTACTGCCAATTCCGCCCCGCTGCCATACACTTAAGCATTCCAAAGAGAAACGGCGGCGTTCAGAGTCACTTTCCCGGGAACAAAAGGGAAGCCAAAATACCCACAAATCGGTTGAGCTCGCAGCCAAAACACTCCCCCGAGGAGCCTGCGCGGCTCCTAAGCCAGAGCATGTCACAGCGTGCTCACAAATCCACGCGTCGTAAAACTCCCCCCCCCACCCACCAAAATCTGCCAGTCGCAATATTGCAGCCACGAATTCCTCGTCTCTGACGAAGAGCCGTTTGCTCTAAATCTTGACCTACTAATGTTTTTTGCTTTTGTCGGGTACGAGCCAGCGATGCTGCGTGTCGTGTTGATGTGTTCTTGGTCCACGTTTATGCGTCACTGACAAAACCCACGCAGTTCCCCCCCGATTTGTTTTCTTGTGGCAAGTTTTAGTGCCGCAAGTGGTCCGTTGACAAGTCCGCGCGACGTCCGATTGCTGTTTTTTTTTGCTTGCGAAGGAGCGGTGGCAATAATTGTTGGCGCACGGTGCGATGGACCCGTTGACCTGAGTCTGATACATGGCCATGGCTAACATCAGTCGTGAGCAACATCTAAACTGGCATGGGCTCCTCTTCACCAACTGGCACTGGCCAGCATTGTGAAGCATGGTCAAACCACCCCCCACAAATCAATATGACATGGGGAGCCCTTCCTCCAGCAATGGACTTAACAAGGAAAGCAAGTACAGTACTTCATTGTTTTTGTATGTCCTTGTTTGCACAGATTTTCTCTGGATACTCCCATTCCCTTCTCAAAACTAAACATAAACAATGCGGACCTGGCCAAACATCCCGATGCAGGACCCTCCTGAAAGATCATTCATACTCACAGATGCTTTTTGAAAACAACAATAATATTGGCTAGCCGTTTTGGAGTTTTTTGTTTTGTTTGATAAATGCTGTTGCTTTTTGACCACAACCCCTATCAGGCCTCACATAGATTACTACCCAGCAAAAGTGTATCCTCTTGAGCTGGGTGACTAGGCCGAAGGGGGGTGGTGGAGCAGAGCACCTTGGAGGGAGGATGTGGGGAGTGTAGAGTGGGACGATAAAGAGATGGCATGGGAAGGGATGAGGGCACACGCGGCGTGGCGGTGTAGGATCCGTACGATAGACGGCGATATAAACGACCTTTATTTATTTATGAGCAGGTAAGAGCCCATTGAGAGCAAGCCAATCTTTTTAAAGGCAGACCACAAGGGTCAATCCGTTCTTGCGCCGGGCTTGTATTACCCAAGGCACAGCAGCACGTGTGCGCGGAAATGCATTGCCCCAGTGGAAATGGTTGTGTCCGAGAGACAGGGGATGAAGAGGGTTGGGTTGGGTGGCCGGGAGAAAGAAAAAAAACACACAGCAGACGCTAAAAATAAACCGGCGGCGCATTTATATTTGTGACTTTCAACTTGCAAATGTGAAATAGGGTCAGCGTGGAAGGGAATTTGCGGCATCGCGGCGCTGAATTGCTGCCCCTTGTTGTGAAACCGAGAGAGGCCGGCTTATTATTTCAATTACGCACTCAAGAGCGTTGTCGAGTGCCACTGTGCGCGAACAAACGCGAAGGAGACAAATCCTGTTGTCCACGGTCCTCGCGTCGCAGGCGCGACGGCTATTATCCACACGCACCGATAGATCTGTGAACGCTTGCATTATCCGCCGTTTTTACACCTTCCGAGTTTGTCCGAAAGCGTCAAAAATGCATTACGTCGCAGTCCGATTGTTTGTCCGTCGGTCCCCAAAAGATGGGATCATGGTAACCCTCGTAACTACAAACCAAAGTAAACAACAAAACGTCAGTCCAAAGTTGTATGGGAGACAAATGGGGGGGGGGGGCGAACTGATTGAAGGGGTTTAAAACTCAGCTTACCGACAGCGGGTAAAAAGCCTTCACAGCCAAAGCCATGATGACATCACATGGGCCATACGCGTCCCCCTGCTAACAATGCCACGACGTGCGGTGTCCCACACACACCATGAGCATGCGTCGGACGCCGATACCGGTCGCTGGGATCGCCAATTAAATAGTTGGGGGAAAATAAAGTGCAAAAACCAACGGCTGACACAATTCTCTGCTCAATTCATCCAATTATAAGAAGGGGGCTATTTTTTTCCCATTTTCCACACTCTAATGTGGAGTTAGAGTCGTCGGCCAAAAAGTGGCGGATGCTTCCGTCCTATTAGCCACGAATTTCAACAGGTAAAGGAAGGGGGCCTTACTTAGGACGTGTAAGCAATTTCGTCCTTTCATCTGCCACGGTGGCCAACATCGGTGGCGAGCGATATATCCGAAAGAGTCCTGCATCCCCCCACCCCATCAAACCCACACCGACCAGCATGGTGAAGTATGGTGGAGCAACTCCCACGACTGACATGGTTGCAGGGAAGGCCTGCATTACCGTTGGTGTAGGAGTATACACGCCCCTTAACATGGGCATTCCTAACCCAACCCAATTCTATCACGTAGCTTCTTTACCAGCACAGCAGAGGTTGTGCATTGGCAAGTGCAGATTACATTTTGGCAAAAGCAGAGATTGCTGCCTCACAATTTGAGGTATAATCAGAACCTCATAACTCATGTATTTGTCGATGTCTCCAAAACGTTCCGCCCAAACTCAATGTAAAATGTACTATCCATTTAGGAATGGGTTAGCTGCTTGAACATGCAGATGTTACGTCTAATTATCTGGCAGATACTGCGTTTGGCAGTGGTGCACAGGCAAAGATAACAAAAGCCTCACATTCGTCAATAACACAGTGGCCTTAAATGGGAAGAAAATCGATTAAATAGACGACATTTTGCGCAATGTCCCTTTATAGGGACTTCATGATTCATGTGCCGTGAAATCAGGTCACTGCCCGAAACATTTCCTATTATATATTTGTATTTAAGGCAGTTGTGTGTTGACAACAGAGCTTTGTGGGCTATTATCACGGTGATATTTAGGGCAATGGATAATACCACACAATGGCCAAATCTGCCACTTGCGTCAACGGTAATGCCACGGAAACTACGGCCTTTCTCGTGCACATCTATGGCTGGGGTCTAGGTACGGGTGAAAAAGGAGAAGTCCAACATACAATGCACAAGAGAATGTGGTCAGTGTCATCACGACATGCGACGCATGCTGCCACCCCTGTTGTATGTTTTTTTGTGTTTCCCAAATATACTTTTGTTTTGTTCGCATGCAAATGATTAAAGCACAAACTGTTACGTACGCACGTGATGGGTGTGCCGACGTGAATTTGACTCGACGTTTCAAACAAACCAGACGCTGTACAACTTTCAGAGGTTTCGTTGCAAACACAAAGGGGCAATGGGTGCAGCCCTCAAATTTCTTGATCATCACACTGCTGGCGGGAGGGCCTCCCGCTCGTGGGTCAAAAAACATTCCCCGTTGTTTCAACTGCCGCAACCAGGGGATCTAACCGGCGAACTCTGGATTGCAATTCCATTGCTCTCATCGTTACCCCGCGTGCCATCGCCCCCCGATTTTAACTTTTCCGTTGCTTCAACGTTTTGTTACACGCGAGCTTGCATAATAAGATAATTAAAGGGGGCGCAGCTGCGCAATATTGCGCTCATTAGAAATGTGTCAAGTGAAATTAACGAATTTTCACGTGATTCACAAATGTGACCGATTGTTGTGAAACTCTGCACGTGTGCTCGAGGTGAAGTTACTTTCTTCGTTTCACTCTCACATGGGATGTTTATTTAAGCGGAAAATATGCGGTGGGTTTGGTTGGGGGTGTGGCGGGTGGGGGTCAGAAACACTGAGCAGGCACCACTGAAAACATTGGTTAGAATCCGGGTTTCAGACAGCTGTGATGAATCCGGGTTCTCAAGTGTAGCAAATTGCCAGTGTACGATAGTTCAATGTTAATATGGCATTGTATTGAGGGACTACTTTGTGTTATCTTGGTGTGGGTTTGGGACCGTTTTGTTTTGGCTGCCTTGCCCGATGCTAATAGATTGGACGTCTATAATTATTTATATTTCTTGACTTGCTTACCATTTTCTCTATTCTGCACTCCAAGGTGTGTTTGTATTCATAATAGAGGTTTTTTGGGTTAGATCGCATAAATGTCGTTAAAAATTTGTGGTTTGGCTCTCCAACACACCGGTGTGCTGTACTAGTGACGAATTGGCACGCTCTGTTAACGTGACCTTCCTTACTAGTTGGCTGTGTCGGGTGGTGGCGGGTTTAACGACACATTTATATATTTACGCGATCTAATAAAAAAAAAACCTTTATTATGGATGATATTGGTCGCGAGAGCCTACGTGTTAAACTGTTTGTATTGTTTGCTCTTGTAACTTTTCCGACCCCGTGCCCACACTGGACATCTGTGAAAAAAGAGCTTCATTAGCTCATCGGATTCCTCCTCTCAGTCTCAATAAACATTCAGATTCTGAGCAAGTGAACACTCTCCCATCAAGTAAAATGTGCTTCTGCACTATTTGCCTATCAGTCCCCCCCCCCCTCCCGCAAAGCAACGGCACCTTAACTCCCAACCAGGTTCCCTCATCAGCTGGGCTGCTGCTACCGCAGCCGTCAGCGTGCCGTCGACTCGTCACCGCAGTTTACAAAAGGCCCACGCCGGAGAACGCCCAAACCCCACGCCCCCCTCCCCGCGTGCTCACCTGAGCGTACTGATCGCGGCCGCCTCCGCAGTGATCCACCGCTCCCACCATCTGCTTCAGCCCTTGCTCCTCGTTGGCCTGCATCTGCCTCGCCGCCAGGCCCTCTCCCCTCTGCGCCTCGCCCAGCGACCACTCGTCCCTGGGGCTCGCCTCGCGCTCGCCACTGAAAGCGGCGCGGGGCTTCCTCCTGGCTGCGCCGTCGGCGCCGTTCGACAGGTCCCTGGCGCGGTGCTTGCCGCCGCCGCCGCCACCTCCCTTCCTGTCGCCGCCGTGCTTCCTCGCCAAGGCCTCCTGCTCGTCGGCGCCGGCGAGCGGCGGAGCCGAGCCGTACTGCTGCTGCTGCTGCTGCTCCATGTAGGGATAGCCGTACATGTACTGCTGGTAGCTGGACAGGTGTGGGGACAGCCGGGACAGCTGCTGAGTCAAGGGTGGGGGGGTGTCCTCGCGCTCGCTCTTCACCGCTTGGCGCTCGCTGCAAAGCGGCGGCGGCGGCGCCTCCTCGTGCTCCTTCTTTATCATCTGGCCGTTGTGAACGGCGGCTGCGGGAGGTTCTCTGTCGCCGCTCTCGGGCGCCGCGTTCTGCGGCGCCGGCTCCACGGGGGAGAAGTACGGCCTGTAGCTGCCGAAGAAGGCCGGGTCGTCGCTCCGGAGGGCGCGCGTGTCCAACGTCGTGAGCTCGGCGTCGCTGAAGCCCAGACCCTTCGGGACGGCGGAGGACTTCTTCGACTTCTCTCCGCCGCGCTCCTCCTCGTCCGAGATGTCCGAGTAGGCCGGGCTGCCGGCGTTGGAGGCCGGCGGAGCCTCCAGGCCGAAGAGGGCCGCGCCCTGCGGCTGGGCCACGGGCGCCGCCTTGCCGTTGGGCACGTGGGGGGGGCGCGCGCCCTCGGCCTTGCAGCCGACGCCGATGCAGGGGCTCGGCGTGTTGTCCGAAAAGCTGTAGACCTTCGCCGCCTCCTCCTTGATGCTCGCGATGCGCCTCTCGGGCGACTCGGCGGTCGTCGAGCCGTTGGTCAGGCCCTCCGTCTTGACGACGTAATCCTTCTTCAGCGACTGCAGCAGCTCGCCTCCCGAGGCCTCCTTGGCCTCGTCCGATCGCCCGATGACCTTCAAGCTCAGCTTGAGGCTCACCGTCTCCTTGGCATCCCTCTCTTTCGACTTCCTCTTGTCCTTCTTCTTCTTTTCCTTGGCGAGCAGCGCGTTGGCGGCGGAGGCTCCCGCGCCTTCCGAGGGGCTGTTGGCGCGGGCGTCTTTCGCGCGCGCGCCGTTCGTCTCGTCGCCGGCTTCCGGCGGAACCGAGCTGCCGACACCACCACCACCACCGGGAGCGCCGAATGCTCCCTTGCCCGCCGGCGGCGCCTCCTGACCGGCCGCCGTTCTGTTCTTATGCGGGGACATTTTGCCTTCCGTTTTGACGCCGCTCGCCTTCTTGACCGCCTCCATGTCCGCCTCCTGCCGGGAAGCGCCACGGGCCGAATGTTCGGCTTCCGGCTTGGCGGCCTCGGCGACAGCGGGGTTTGCGGCTCGTTCGCTCGACGCGTCCACGGGCTCCCCCTTGACTTTTTTCGCATGGCCCCTCGCTCTGCCGCCGAGCGCCGGCGAGGCGCCGCTCGGGTTGTCCGCTCCGTTAAGGCCGGCGACGCTCTCCTCGGCCCGAGCGCCTTTCAAGCGCTCCGCGCACTCGGCCTTAACCCCGCCGCCGCCCGCCCCATGCTCCAACATTCCGTTCGCCCTGGAGGCACGGGCGCCAAAGCCGGCGGCGCCATCTCCACCGCCCTCGTCGTCCGCCCGGCCCCTGCCCGGGTCCGCCTTGTCCTCATTCTCCAGGTGCGCGTGCGCCTGGTGATACTTGAGTCCGTTTATGTGCCGGTACTTCTTGTTGCAGTTCGGGTGCGGGCAGTCGATGAACGTGGGCGACGACGACGAGGACGAGGATGACGAGGATGATGACGACGGCGGCGGCGGCGGCGTGAGGCCCAATTGCTCCGCGGCACCGCCACCGCCGTCGGGCTGGGCGGAGGCCGTCACGGCGCCGTTCCCTCCGCAGCCCGCGGTCGCGGTCCTCGCCGCGCTCAGCCGCAACCGCTTCCCAGGCCGCGTGCCCTCCTCGCTCGCCGCTTGCTGCTGCTGCTGCTGCTGCTGCTTCGACAGCGCCGACGACAGCAATGAAGACGCCACTGCGGCGGCGGCCGCCCCAGATATCGCCGACATATCCAATGAGGGACGGCCTTTCCGTTTGCCGCCAGGGCCCGCCCGCGGGCTCTCGCCGTGGTGCAACGAGCCCCAGTGCCCGTTCGACGTGAGGTTGCCCCTACGGCCCTTCCCTCCCCCGCCGGTACCGACGGAAGAGGAGGCGGCAACGTCGCCGCCGCCGCCGCCGGCGCCGACCGCGCTTCCCACTCCGCCGCCGCGGCCCTTGCCCTGCACGGCCGCTCGCGCAGCGTCGCCCGCGCCGCATGGCTCGCCCGGCGTGCCCGAGCTGGAGGTCGCGCGGGTTCGCTTGCCACGCCCGCGGCCACCGCCACTGCCGCCGTTGCCACGAGCCTCCACGTCGCTCACGGGCGACTCGCAGAACCTGGCGGGGAAGATGACGTGAGCGAGCGCACGGGTACAAGCACGCGCTCGCCACAGCGACGACGACGGCCGCCATTCGCCGCTGATGACCCGTTTTTACGCTTGCGTGTTCGAGCCGAGTCAGCTTGGGACCCACACGGCGTTTAGATTATTTTGATTATTTGACTGCTGTCAATTTCCACGTGATAAGCCACTTCATTGAGTCGTTACTTGTGACCAAGTTGCTGCTGAAAAATAAGCTAATATGTCAGTGGGCTTTAGCTGGTAAAATAAAAATTGATGAGTTTTATTTTTAATTTCATTATTTGCGTGATTTCGTTACCTTTCTTATACTCTACACTCCTATTGTATTTTTGTATTGTGTGTTGTTGTAGCTTTCTGACCCACTTCTACTGGACACCTGTGCAAAAAGAGCATTCTAGCTCATCGGATTCCTCCAGTATGAACAAATATTCTCATTCAGCTGGTTTTCCACTGGCTAATCGCCGAGTTGAGACAGAACCAAAGCGTAACGATTTGGACCTCGCAAGACATCCAAAACCTAGCTCTGGGTCACGGGGGAAAGGACGGGGGGGGGGCTAACGATGGGGTTCATGACGGCGTGTGACGTCGCTTGGTACTCTCTTGACGACACGCAGGGTCACAACGGCGTGCATCCCGGCTCGGTCGTTGTGTGCGTCTCGTTCGCGGCACGGGCTTGGCTTTTTTTGCAGTGGTGGAAAGAAAGCAGAAACCTGGTGCCACTTGAGCCGCACCGGGCTCTCAGGTGACGTAAGCGACGAGGACGTAACCACAGCGGGCTTGTTCCAGGCTAGCTTCACTTTGAGACCACGTTAAGTGTTGAAGGCTCGCTGGCATGCGGCCACCAGGACAGATCCAGATGCTATGGGGGTTAAGCGAATGAGATGACTGGCTGATGCGCCACCTGTGCTTGGCACGGTGCCATGTTGCACGGACACAGATCCTTGTGCACGTATTGCAAGTCAAAGACAAAGCTCCCCCGTGCAAGCCTTACGACTTTTGGGGCAAGTGCTTTCGGTGAGCACCTCTGAAAGCTGGCACGGCACACGAGGGGGGTGTGGGGAATCACGCCCGGTCACCTTCGTCTGCCAGGTACTAATTTTGAGGCCGAGTCGACCTAGGGGAGGCCCAAGACCGGTTCAGATAACCGTTACTGGTGTTGACCGTGAGCAGGAATTGAACTCGGGTTGTGGCATATTTGCACTAACCGCTGCCCTACCACTCCAAGTCACACACACAGACACACACATACAAAGACTCATGTAAACGCATTATGTACAGAGGATCATGTAAGCCTGGTTCAGTGCCCAACTTTCAAATGCAGGACCCTCCTGAAAACGAGTCTGACGACTTAGTGAGGCTTTTACGGATAACAGAAGGTGTTTTTACTCTTATTTTAAAACGGCATCTCTACGTTAGTCCAAGTTAAAGGATTACCTTGGTGGAGCCCAGTCGTGCTTTGTGCAGTCCAGCAGCGTCCCCACGTAAGTTTTATTTCTCCACGCCACATTAACAACGAGCAAGCCTGCAAGAGAGCAAATCGCAGGGATTATTCACGGGTGTCTGGGTCGTAGGGTACAATTTACAGGTTAAGAGTCGAGCCAAAGTTTTCTGCAGATCAAACCGATGACGGCCGGCAACTCATCTCCGTCGATGGCCCCTTATCCGGTAATGGAAATTCCACGTTGCGGTGGTGAAGGCCTGGCTATCCGCAGGACTACTATTAGCTTCATGCGGAGAACGGTGCTGCTCATTTGAGGACGATGGACCGATTTGCTCGCTCCCCGACTGGGAATTGAACTCGCGACCTTCCGATTGTAAATTAAGCACTCTAACCACTGCGCCACCCGGCCAGATGGTGCGCAGCAGTACAATTATCAACATGCCCTTTAACCAAGTGAGAGTCAATCGAGAATCATTAGACCTTTTTCAAAAAACACTCGGGTGAATACAGCAACTGCAATTAGTATTGCCTGCATGAATACCGACCTGTCAGCGATTGCGCTAATGGCCTTTGCTAGAATGTGTTTTATTTTATTTATGGGGTTTTTTTTTTTACATCCACCCCACCTTCCACCACCCCCCCCCCCCCCCCCATGTTATCGCCACTGACACAATATTAACGGAGTGTCATGAGTGGAAGAATCCATTCGGAAATCTCGCAGAGCGACAATCCGCAACCCCGCACGCGCGTCGTACAACGGGCTTCCGGAAACAAAAATTCCCTCAAGTGGCGCTTTTTTTCGTTCGCGCGGCAGTGGTCGCACTTCCCCACATCGTTCTGCCACGAGACGAATTGCCGCGCGACAGCGGCCGAACCTACTGGTTTTTAATTCCGAGCGCCAGACATTGCCTACACGGGGTGCAAAAATAAATGTGCATTCAATTGCGTCCGCAGTCGTCGGCGACCGGCTCCGAGACCACCATCAACCTGCTAAACTTCAGAACCCAGTTAAAACTTTCAAACAACTATAACCATTTTATTTAGTTATTTTTTTCTTCATTTCATTATACATCTTAATTTTCTCATTCATTTTTATATTATTGTTCTTATTACATTTTATTCAGAACCCAGTTAAAACTATTAAACTACTAAATTGCGTTTATTATTTTACCAGGTAAGGCCCCCCCCCCCGAATTATATAGCTCTTTTTCAGAAGCAACTCTGGCCCCAAATTGATAGTGCAACGAAGTGGCTTACCATGTGAAAATGTATAGTGGACAAATTTCCAAATACATGTTTTTAAAATGTGGAGGGAAAACCCGGAGGACCCCGAGAAAAATCCATGCAAACTCCGAATATTGCAGCAGGCATCAGGGGTCGGGATCAAATCCAGGACCTCCAGTATACCAGGCGAGGGAGCTAACATCTCACCACCGTGTCGCAGGTGGCTGAAACCTGAATTCGAACCCAACTATCCTCAGCATTGCCAGCTCAAAGAGAACTTACAATAACAGCGACTACACGCACACATCTGGGCAAGCGCCCCTTCCTCTCAACACGGCATAATTTTTCCCCAACCCACGTCCCCCCCCACACACATAATCTGTTTGCGGCTTTCAAACACGCGATCGAAAGAGCATCAATTCTTGCCAAAATACTCTTTGTGATAAAAAAACCCACTGGCAAGAAGCCAACAATATCATCACACACACACACAAACCAAAACACATAATCTGGCCAGGTGGCAATGTCGTTAGAGCGACTGATGCACAGTTGCAGTAGAGTTGCGAGTTAAAATCCCAGGTCGGGTGGGTTAATAAAAATGTGTACCGCATTTGGGAAGTCAACAGTGTGCCATCATCAAACGGATAGACTCGCTCCTGCCATAGAAATGTGACATTTCCACAACTGGGTGATTAGAATGGAGATGAGCACTGTCACATCGTTCGTGTACGTTTTATTCATTTATATTCTCTTTATATTCCCTTGCAGCAGTGCAACACCTCGTGTTAGTAAATGGGCCAGAAAATGACGTCAGAGAACTATGAGAATAGGTTTTCCCCTTTTTTCATGACAACAAAACAGATGTTAAAACACTAAATTGAAACCTTTTACAAGGAATCATGTCTGCATTAACCACAATACTTGTGGTCAGAATGCAGATAAAAAACGTACTCCGATAATATATACATTACATTTTGATTTAAAGCTTTCGTGACTGCAGGGATTCATATTCTTGGTTCTTTCGGTAAAGTCACGTAGAAGGGAAACAATAAAATAAAAATATATATAAAACAATAAAATTCTCACGACGTTTCGACTGCAACACAAAGCAATCACAGAGCAAGAACATTTTCTTGCTGTGGTTTTCACACCTGATTATGATTGCTTGTGTTGCAGTCGAAACGTCGTGAAAATTGTATTGTTTTCTTTTTTCTCTTTTAATGTTTCCCTTCTACGTGGTGACTTTACCGAAAGAACCAAGAAAACCTATTCTCATATTTTGGTACTGGTAAGGAGGTCCGATGATGTCAGATAACTACTTCTGAAGTCACTTTCATAGGTCTCGTTATCCACATTCGGGGGACACACATTGTGTTATGCCCTGCAAAAAGTGTTTGTTGCACGTCAATAAAACCAAATTGTTTAGGCTTGGAATAAGCCAAGTAAAAAAAAACCCTTTTATTACATTTCGTACTGTGCAGTCATTGGTGACCAAGCCGAGAACAGTGACCCCAATACAGTTGAGAACCCAGTTAAATTTCACGGGCGGCTGAAACCCGGGATTGGAACCCGGCATCTTAGTAGTTGCCAGCTTCGGTGCCACCGCAATTTCCGTGCCATCTGGCCATCTCGAAAAAAAAAAACACTTTTGTCTGGTTAACTTTTCATATCCGGCTGGCGCGCTATACTCTTCCAGCACTTCAAAAGGGGGATGGGTGTTACAGACATTAAGGGTTCATCTCAACTTATTTCGAGATTACAAAAACACTGAGCACAGCTCTGCATCAAAGAGGCTTTGTACAATCTTATCTGCTCCGGACATTTGCTATCTGTCAGTGTGTGGTCTCTCTCTTGTTTTATTTTATTTTATTTCATACACTCCTTGTCAGTTAAAAATGGAAGAGACAACTGACGAAAACACACCCAGTATGTACACATTTGGCCTGCGATCCGGCAGACATGGCTAAAGCACTTTAATCAGTCAGAAAGATGCGTTGTATCCTGAAGTGAAGGTGATTGTCAATCATAATAATGATTATTTTTGCAGCATTTTATCCATCCCCCGAACGGACAAAACCCTCTGTATGCCGTCTCGGTTGTGGAGGTTGTTTGACCATACTTCACCACGCTGGTCAGTATAATTTTGTAAAATGGGGGGGGGGGGGTGGGGGGTGGGAGGCCCAAGAAGACTGGGTTCAGATACCGCTCTCCGGCGCCGATATCCGCCGTGACCAGGAATGCAAAAGGAGGTCATCCTCCCTCTCGTCCACTTACTCGATGTCTCGTGCCACACGATGCCTTCCAGGCACACGGTGGTGCCGGGATCGCAAGGGCCCAGGCACTCCGGCTCGGTCAACGTGCTCGCGTCACGAGCGGTCCCGGCCACGCAACGCTTCCGGCCGGCTCCCATCTCAGCCCCGGCCATCGCTGCCGCCGCCGCCGCCGCCGCCGCCGCTAGCGCCGCTCCTCCCGAGGATCTTCTCCGCCGCTGCTGCTGCTGCTGCGGCTGCTGCTGCGGCTGCGGCTGCGGCGATTGCTGTGGCTGTTCCGACGAAGTTCCCGTCGTCGCTGTCGTCGCTGGGCTGGGAGAAGAACGCAGAGAAGCGGCGGCGGCAAGGCTGCCGCCCTCCCCGTCGGATGTCGCACAGCCCGGGGAGGTGGAGGACGGGGGCACGGCCGGTATCAGGAACGCTGGGTCCGCCTGCAGGAAAAATGACCAGAATATATATTTTAAAATGGGATCGCGCTGACCAGCATGGGAAAAGTATGGTCAAATAACAGCGAAAGCTAGCGTGGTGTGGGGGAGGCCTTCACCCCACCAGTGGACTGATAAAACAGATATGCACATACACAGAATGCCAATACACAAATCTGCTTCGGCATTGCACATAGGTTTTCACAGTCAATACTATTCTCATTCAAATCGGATTGTTTCTCAGGTGAATTCTGCGAAACGCCTATTTAAGAATCTGGGTCAGGGGATATTGATATTCTGACTTCCCAGATTCTGTCTTAAAGCCGCTAGGCCAAAACTAGTTGCCGAGCGGAAGCCGGTATTGTGTTTTTCACTCGTTCATGAGCCTTAATTCTCACGATATATGGTGCAAATAAATAAACAAATTAAGGTTTGTGCCTCTACGTACATTGTTTTAATAAATCAGAATCTTTTTTATTTAGATTAGAAGAAATCCAATTGAGCTATGAAGCTCTTTTTAACAGATGTGCAGGAGGGGCAGGTCAGCAAAATCAAGGCTAGCAGCCAATGGGCCTTACAGACCAATGTTTCACTGCAGCGTTTATTCAAGCTGCCAAACTCTGGCCCTACTTCAATCTTCAGAGTCTCGTGAGCAGCGAGGCTGATTAAAACAAATGCCGCCGCCTCGCCAGATGTTATCGACAAAAGACATCTGATAGCGCGTTTGACACGGTAATGTAAAGTACGATGGCAATGTTTGTGTTCGGTGGGCGTTTGCGATTACGCAAGGGCTGTAACCATGTGCTGTATCAGACCGCAATCATTGCCAAATGGGAGCGTGGAGACAATGTGCGATGGAGGAACAGAGAAGTACCGATGTGCTTGACTTATCATGGGGATGTGACTTGTATACAAGCATACATAGTAACGTACGCCTGTATACTCATGTGCCCACAGGCTACGCTAATTTTGACTGGCCACATGACCCATTCATAATAAACATTTTGTTGGGTTATATCGGGTAAATATAAATGTGTCGTTAAAACCGACACCACCCCGGCCAGAGCCGATTGGGTAAGGCTTGTCACGGAAACAAAACGTGCCAATTAGTCAGTACACCAGTGTGTTGGAGAGTAAACCCACAGCATTTACCATTTAAGTACTCAATTGCGAATCGCTATCAGGTTCGTTCGTCGAGTACCCGACGCAGAAACATTCGTGAGAATTTACTGCGCGCCAAAGTGTGGGAACATTACCCCAGCGGCTGTCGCAGTTCAGCACGCCCACCAAAAACACGTGAGTTCAAAGTGTCGGTGGAGTGATGCATCGATTTGTTTCCATTACAGTGGCAGTCGATTTTTCTCAGGCTCACGGTGGCCAGGTCATACGACACACGTGAATAGCATCGCACGTGTGAGGGTCTACGTTTTCTTTTGTTCGTTTTGTACACTGTGCGCAGATCACACTGTAAGCGGCCCTCCAGTTATTCCCCTCCACATTTAGAAACATGCTTTGTAGAATTAGATAAGTATGCTGCCGTAGATTTCCACGCGGATAAGCCACTTCTCGTTGAGCTATCATTTGTGATGGCCAGGTCACTTCTGAACAATAGGCTAAGAGCCCTGTGTGGCATTACCTGGTAAGATTTTAAAAAACATGGTTTTATTTGTAACTTATTCGAAGTGATTTGTTTACATTTCCTATACTTTACACTCCTATCGTGTTTTTGTGTTGTTTGTTGCCGTAATGTTCGGACCTGCTTCTGGAATATCAGATTCAGGGTCACCCACGCATGCAGGTGCGAGACACCTGCGTCCACAAGAAGCTGCTACAACAATTACGGAAATGTTGTTAAACGTAAATGGAGTAAATCCTGGAACGAACTTGTGATCACAAATCGAGACGGTCCGTTGATTCGTGAGGGTGGCGAATCGTTACACCGATTTTAAGAAGAAGAAGAAGAAGCCCCATTAAAACACTCTTGTTTAAAGTGGACCTGGGAAAAAAAAGGATTAACTTGGACCGTCAATAATAGGAGTCACGGGTAACCGGGCCACCGATAATAGGAGTTTCACTGCGACACAAATTGACCGTACGAACTCCCCCCCAAAAAAGTGCAGGCTCTTTGCACGGAGACAAACACAGTCCCAGCCCAGCAACACGACTCGAACTCGGCTCTCAGAAACGTGCTCCGCTGGAACAGTTGGTGACACGGGGAGGCATCGCAGCTCCCCCAGCCGACCGACCCAACGTCCGCTCGAGGCAACGGGAACTTTGCCAACAGCGGCGACTGGCGTTGCTCGCGTGTCAACAGCTCCGAGTTCACGGGAAATCTAAGCCAACGGGGCAAGTCCATTGCTCACGCCAACGGCTCCCGAATGCGGCGCGTCAGCCTTTTCAGCCAAGCGGCATGAATGGGGGTCAATATGACTCAAGCCTTGTTTACAGCCAGCGCTTTCTCTTTAAGTCAACACGGCGAACACAAGCTTGTCACCCTTATTGAGTCAGTTGCTCGAGTGAACGTGCCTGTCAAAGGAAGTGGGGGGGGGTGCTGGCGAGGCTGGCGGGGCTGGGCTCTTTGTTTGGAAGTGAGTGGTGGTGGTGGTGGGGAGGGTGGGAGATGCAAAGGCAAGGCACTCCGCAGGACTGTTGGTTTGACCATGACACCCGGCGCATAATGGCTCAATTCGGGGCGGGGCGGTTTCTAGGCGGATTACCGCCGCACGTAATTGGGCCCCGCGAACAAGAGAGGCCCTAGTAAATCGCGCGGGTGAATTTCTCTCCACGGTGCTGCTCTCCAAGCATTGTTCGCCGGGCACCCAAGACGCAGCCGCCGCGGCTGTGTCGCAAGGCTGGAAGTGGGAGTGATGCAATGACAGTGTGCGTGTGTGTGCGCTCCCCCCGCCAGCTGCGTCCTAATAGAAAAAAAAAGGCAAGCTCTGCCTTTTGCCATTACGAACGAATGCCGAGCCGTTCCGTCAAAGTGTCTCAAGTGTAAGGCCATCGTCGCTAGTCTCGACTGGCAGCCGGCAAGAAAGTGATGGGAATTACACGTTCCTCTGGCGGAGGTCAGTCTATCCACGGGAACGGCCACGGTTAACTATCCACAAAGGTTTAAAAGGTACACCCGTCTCCGCACACGCGTGCTCATTGCCCCAGCGGGTCGGTACACACTCGTTTGAGCCGCGCACTCGGGATTAAAACTGCACGGAATTAAAACCGCATTATCTTAACAGTGCCGGCTCAGTGGATCAGACACAGCCGCTGTGACTCCGCCCCCCCCTCCCCCCACGGGATCCATTTCCGTCCGCTAACCAGACAGGAGCGACAAGAAAAAAGTCAAAAGCCTCTCTCGCTGCTGCACAAACGGGAAAAAAATGATTCAGCTCCCATTTCCGCCGGCGGCCCACCGGAGTGGGAGGGAGCGGTTGGGGAAAAAACAGAGGCCGGCAAACTTCCCACAAAGTGGCACGAAATAATCAGAATCTTTAGTTATACTGGAGGAGGAATCCGATGAGCTATTAAGCGTTTTTTTTCCAGACACGTCCAGTAGGGGGAGGGTCAGAAAGTTGCAACAAACAATACAAAAACACGATAGGAGCACAAAAGTAAACAAATATATTTTTTAAAATGGAAAACTGAACTTTTGAATTTAACAGGAAAAGCCCACCGAGCTAATAGCTTCTTATTCAGAGGCGACCTGGCCCACAAATGATAGCGCAACGAAGTGGCTTACACAAATTTATGGCAGCCATATAATCCAAATGATAAAAAATATTAAGACAGAGAAACAGCCCTGCAATGTCCTGCTCACACCACTGCCGGCAGAAGGGCCTCCACTCGAGGGAGCTCTCAGAAAGCCCTTTAATAAGTTGCTATTGGCCTTTCTTTTCTATTCCGGCCAGACACCTTGGAAGGGGTGTAAGTACAAGCACTTTTTTTCCTCCCTCAATCCACAAGCGACCCCGCCAATTGGATCGACTCACCGTTGCGCGTTATCCAAACTTGCCGCGCCGCCGGGGAGATCGAATTAAATAAAAAACCGGCGACCTCTGATTAAAAAGCCCAGTGTGCAGACCCCATCACACCGCTGTTGGCGGCACCACATCACCATCGCCCCGCCGTCGTGGCACAGGGCCACCGATATACATCCCTGGGACACAACCGTCGGCTGAGTCACGGCAAGTCTCACGCTACCCATTGTTCACAATCAACCTCATTTTAAGCCACCGAGGATGACAACGAGGACGACTTGGAAACCCGATCGGCTGGAACTAACTTTCAAGCCACCGCCGCTCCCACAAACACCCTCCCCCCACCCCACCCCCCCATCAACACAAAGCGGTGGTCGGCCTGGTGTTTTTTTTGTATCCGAGTAGGAGTTAAGGCAAGTGCAGCCGAAGCTGCGATCCATTTGATGTGCTCACGTGGCCGACATTATAAGCGCCGCGAAGCCGCCCCCGGGATGGCACGCAACTTTGCGTTTGTTCCACAGGTCAAGGACAGGCATTTTTGTCGAAAAAAAAAGGTCTCCGTTTGTCATGGCCGTTTAAAAAGGTCTGTGTTTGTCGTGGCTGTTTAATGTTCTACCGTTCACCTTTTGACATGCGGGGGGGGGGGGGTGTTAACGCTCTTGCGTGTCTCTCTCTCGTACAAAAAGAAAAAAAGTTTATTGCTAAATGCCACTCACGTGCTCGATTTACATTCAGGCGGCGGCGTCACCGTCGCTGCACCGCGTGCTTGTCAGGAAGGCCGCTTGTCAATTTGTGCTGCGATGCATTGTCCGGGTAATTACTTTTGTTCTATGGTCTTGCCCCCCTGCCCCCACCACTCCAGATCTCCCTCGTGTCTGGCACATGTTTCTACGGTGGGATCTCACGTGCTTTACGTGAAGTACATTTCTTTTTTATACAAATTAAACTAACGTCTTTGATCCGAGCCGCGTGATTTTTTTTTATTTTGCCCGGAACAGATGTTGGGCAAACACATCACAGTTCAGAAGTTGA